AAAATCAATTGCAATTTTTGCAAATTGACTAATAATGAACGAAAATTCGACAAAAACTAGTCCTAATTTACATCAAAATTACCCATATTTGCAAGAGAGCCAATTACGACAATCAATACTGGGTGAAAATTACACTCCAGTTAGCCGTAATTTTCCGCCCTGTTTTGGTTGGTTCATCCTGTATACAAAACGGACTTTCGTTATGTTTCATTGCCTAATTGAGCTTTCGGATGTCGTTATCAATTCATGGAATGTTAACGAGCATTATAGATGAGCACTGAAACCTAAAACCCTGCAAGAATTGTAGATATAACTAAGCAGGTAGCGTTGAGAAGCTTATTATTTAACGGCTTTACATGATGAGAAAGTTCCAAGTTCAATCAGTCGCGATCTGGAAAAAATTCCTACTATTTTCAAGTAGTAGTAGTATTTTGAGCAGCTGCCCCCGGTTGAACCATTTGGATTCGAAGGACCAAAAGGAATAAATGCGCGCTTGTTTAAGACAGTTTATATTAAGACATCTGAAGCTTTCTACCCATAAACACCGTTTATTGCAAGTTGGGATTGACTTTTAGATGGCTTTTGCACAATATCAGGGCTATTTAAAGCCAATCTTCGGGTAATTCAGGCCTGCACTCGGCTTTCCTAGTTGGGATTAATTTTTCGCAAATAACCCTGTGTGGGAGTAAAATATACGCAACGAAAGTGGAATAATTGTCTTCTCACAGTTTCCATGTTTGGAGCGGGATTGCGGCAATTAATCCATATCAGTGGCCAATTTACTTGAACTTTGCCTTAAGCCGAAGGACTTTTCCTCTATTAATAACGCGTTACACACATACATAGTTGTATTACGTGTTACGTCCAGAACCAGCGGGTTTTGTACGAGGTAAATTTAATTTTCCACAATTATTCGACTACTTCCAGACTAGTGGTTGTTTTGCACATCTGCAGCTGTGCCTGCCCTGTCTGCCTCAGAAGTCCCGTGGGCCGGTATAATGAACTTTACGTTTCGAAATCACTAAATATTTCATTAGTAAATATCAGGAAATTTATTGAGCCTTATTTGGGACTGTTTGATGCATGTTTCGAAACCATTAACAGGCAAGACCTCAAGTGATTTTTTCGAGAGGAAACCCATTAAACTGCACAATCTCATTGCTGGCAGCAATAAAAATGAAAACTAAACGACATTTAATTAGGCCAACAGCCACGTGTGTTCCAATAGACCAACAGTTGCGAAAACAGCAGCTTCAGCTGATTTGCCAACTATTGACCTCTACAGCCAATCCCCAATAGAATAATCCAATGGGTCGATTAGAGACCAATTCTTTTGTCAGTCACCTATAAATATTTTATTAGGCCAATTGCCATAAATCGATCTATTTAGCTCCATTATATTAGCTCTGATTCCCAGGCTGTTTCAATTGTGCTCTAGGCCAAAGGTGGAGCCAGATTTTGCAATTTACACCTTGAAGACCTTTAGACATTCTTTTCGCAGCGCTCCTGCAGCATCAATACATTAAAGATTCATCAAGAAGAAAGTCGCCTTCACAAAGCCCAACAACGCCTCTTTGTGGTTCTATTGGTAAAATCAAGGCCTATTCAACGATGGTTTGTACATTTTTTCGAAATAGCGCCGCCACTGTCCGAGCGCACAATAAAGCTAAATTTAAATGCATGGCATCATGTCTTCTAATGGATGCAGAAACACTCTCTCTGTCCCATGTTTGACCGTTAATCACCCATAGAGGTAAAAATGGTTATTAATTGAGACACAAGTAATTGCTGGGACGGTGTTGTGCAAACACCCATTATTTATGGGGCTTCCTGCGTGGGCACCACAAAACAAAGTGAGGATAATTATACTGTTGGGTATGATTATGGGCTCAGTGTATGTTAATCCAGCGTCTTCTATAGCGCTTTACTTTTTTCTTAACTAGGCAATTTTTGAGGATAATTGGCATGTATTAGTCCCATGAGACGCTCCCAAAAAATCGAAACTTCGTCGTAATTAGGCCAATGGGTTAGTTGAAACTTTTGCCGGCCAAAAACAATGCATTCAGGTGCTCGCAGGAGGAAAATTGGAGCAAAAGTACCAAGAGACCTATTTTTGAGAAGCCCCCAAAAATGACCATAAATTAGCCACATGTCGCGATCGCTAAAAAAATAAAAACTTCCCAACTAGACCAACGGGGGACTTGAAACATTCACAAGGAAAAAACAATGCATTCAGGTATTCGAGGAAGGAAAATTCGAGCAAAAATACCAAGAGACCTATTTTTGAAAAGCCCCCAAAAATGATCATAAATTAGCCACATGTCGCGCTCGCTAAAAAATCAAAACTTCCCAACTAGACCAACGGACTACTTAAAACTTTCACAAGGCAAAAACAATGGATTCGGGTACCTCAAGTATACAATTCTAGCAAATGTACTAAGAGAGTTATTTTTGAGAAGCCGCCAAAAATGATCATAAATCAAACAAATGTCGCGCTCTCTAAAAAAAAATTAAAACTTCCCAACTAGTCCAACGGGCTACTTGAAACTTTCAGAAGGCAAAAACAATGGATTCGGGTCCTTCAAGTATAAAATTCTGGCAAATGTACTAAGAGAGTTATTTTTGAGAAGCCGCCAAAAATGATCATAAATCAAACAAATGTCGCGATCTAAAAAAAATCAAAACTTCCCAACTGGACCGACTGGCTACTTGAAACTTTCACAAGGCAAAAACAATGCATTCGAGTACTTGAAGTATAAAAGTCCAGGCAATGTACTAAGAGAGTTATTTTTGAGAACGCGCCAAAAATGATCATAAATCAGCCAAATGTCGCG